ATATGACACCCAACCACACTGCAACACTTGATCAGAGATAGTTTGAGGAACATGAGGTTGCCATGGTGATGGCGGTGCGCACATATCCCGGACATTCATTCTGCAAAACTTACAGCCGAGAGACTTTGCTGAACATCAGGACAGTGAACGGCGCTGGAGTTGCAGTGATCGGTTGTGATGTGGACAAACTACACCAACATGGAGTCCGATCAGAGACGACGCCGGCAGTTACCCGAGAGAGAAGGAAGCGGTACAAACGTAAACAAAAGAGGGGGTAGAGAGCCAGGATCTATGCTAGGCTAAAGGCTAACCCCTCCAGACCAGCAGGACCGTCCTCCTGCTCTCCAATGTCCGCTCCCTCCACAACAAGCTGGACGAGCTACGTTTGCTGAGAGAAACCCGCAGAGAGTGGAGGGACTGCTGTGTGTCTGCTTTAACAGAAACCATCATCACACCATTGTGTGTGTCTTTGTGTCCCTGAAGATCTACCAGGACCTGAAGAGGTTCACCATGTTCAATGTGATGGAGACAGCAACAGCAAACGTTGAGTGTCTTATCCCAGACGTTCATCCTGCAAGACTTACTAATTAAATGATCCTGAAGAAGCGTTCTCTCATCTTGCCTGTACTACTGTGTATGTACAGCAAAATGACAATAAACCTGATTTGATGAGACAGAGTTCAACGTGTCGGCTTCCCAATATCTCATTTGAATCGAGCGTCTGTGGGATGTGCTGGAAAAACAAGTCTCATCCATGGAGGCCTCACCTTGTAACTTCCAGGATTTCAAGGATGTGCTGCTGATGTTTTGGTGCCTGATACCACAGGACACCCTCTGAGGTCTTGTGGAGTTCAATCAGAGTTGTTCTGGCAGCACAAAGGGGAGACCTACTACACAATATCAGTCCGCTAGTTTTGATATTGTGGCTGCAGCTCCTTCATATGTGCATATTTTAGCTAATTCAGAAATTCCAAACATTGAACTTGACACCATTCTTACTGTCTTGTAGGACAGAGACACATGTTTCGTAGCGTCTCCTCTTGCTCTGGGTGCTACGTTTTTAGGTTACTACAAAGAATGCCGAAAGTGTTGAAGTGGCGAGTCCCTTTGAAGTGGAGGTTTTTTTTTTTTCATAAAATTCTTCTGTTTCTGAATGCGTGGAACCTTGCTGCTCACTTCAAGAGGAACTTCAGTCTTAAACAGAATAAGGGTTCCTCTGATCTTTTTGCAGTTCAGTCTACACTTGTAAACATGATGAACTCTCTGGAAGTGTGCGAGCCTTTGAATGTTTGTTCCGGCATTTGACCTCCAAAAAAAAATCACGAGGAGAGTGCTTGGGCACGTTCTAGCACATTACGAATGGGGCAATTATCTGCACACATATGGGGGTTTTTGTTCAGAGTATACAAATAGAAAAAACAGCCGAAAGTTATTAACAAATTCATTATTGAATAATTCTTAAAGCCACTTTAGACTGCACAGTTTTGGACCATCTGAAATGGAAATTGTGAGTTTGTATCATAAATTAGGTCCAACTTGAGTGTTGGTCAACGAACCAGGTTACAACCTGGGATGATGCACGTTATGTTGGTCTGTTTAACAGTTTGTGGAGGCTATTTTTGAACAATGAAGTTTAATGGGAAACATACACAGACACCAAACTGATGGAGGTGAAAGAAAATAGTTTGTGTGACAAAGAAGAAAACTTTGAGGATTTTTAAATGAGCAGTGATAAATAGGCTCCAGTTGGGAATGTGCATATCCTTGTATGTGTTTTTTTTTTTATATTTGCCTAATTGCATTGAAAAGGATCTGTGTGCAAACAAGATGGTGACAATCAATGGATGCCATCATGGACACCAGAAGGACATTAATTTGCAACACTTCGTAGGAGAGGGCGTTTTTTTGTTCAACAATGCACGAGGTGTGATCAAAAAGTTCGGAGACTGCGCTTACAAACATCAAATTAAATTTCATCCTCATCAAAGCGGTCTCCTGGTGCAGCAGTGCAGCTCCCCCAGCGCCTCTACGACACTTGTAACGCTCCCTTGAAGCCTCCGTTATGTAAACACGTCAAGTATCATCTGCAGTGAGCGCCGGATCTTCTAAACTGTGTCAAAACGGCGATCCTTCAACTTGAGTTTTATTTTGAGGGAAGAGGAAGAGGTCACGGGGAGCAAGAAAAGTGTTGTAATGACCAAAACTTAGCTGTGATCAGGCAAACAGTGCACTGTAGCACCTACAGTTTAGGTTGCTCTTCATTTGACATGTTAGAATATAACAGTAGAACCCTGCCTTGATAATCCAACACTGACGGACATGTTCCCAGTGCACAACTACATGAATGTTGAAGAAAACATTAAATATGCTGCTGGCATGCTCTTAACCTGATGCTCCTCGTCTGGTCCTACAAACTTTAGGTTCTTCCGCCATAAAAACTGCTTTTTCTTCTTACTGTTGCAGCTGCAGACACACCTTTTGTTAACATCGATGACCTTCAACATGAAGGTTGGATTATCTTGAGGCTTTTTGGAGTTTTTTCTGCCCCAGTTTGCAGTGTGTGGAGAAATCATAAATGTACACCCACCAGTGTCTTGAGGTCTTGTCACAATCCTGGCTCAGGGTTTGACACAAAATGGAAGAGACCACACGCTGTTCACGTTCAAACAAGTATTTTTATTTAACTAACCAGTCCGGTCAAATTAATCAATCCAGCTCAAAATGTAAATGAAAGAGAGGAGAGTGAGCACCTGAGCTGCAGCCCTCTTAAAGGCTTTGGCCACACCTTCAGTGGGCGGAGCCAACAGAGACGGCCATCTTAGTTTTGACCTTCCTAGAAAAACAAACTAAAATGTTATAAGTGTTAGAAATACAGAGGCCGTCACAGTCCCCTGACTCATATCAGTTAGTGCTCACACATTTTGCACCTTCGTGACCGTGATGCGCTTCGTGCTCCACAAACAGTCCCAGGACTTTTTGATTGCACCTTGAGGAGAATGAAGGAAGGACACCACCAGATAGCAAATGCATGCTGGACCATCTGTTGTAGCTGCAACTGGAGTGATACTGGGAGCAGCTAAAATGCCAATTCCGGCGTTAATAAAAGAAAATTGTGCTTCAATCCTCAGTTTGTTTTATTTTTATGTGAATTACCTGTGACAGGCGTGCATGCGATGGATCACATAAAGCTAATGCAGCCGCCATTAACCGTAAGGTTGTGGATAATAAATTCAAGTCGTTCTTTTATCACAGCTGTAGTGTGAAGCTCAGACCGTCCCTGTTTACCTGCTACAGTTAGAATGTGTGTTCTGTCCTTGCAGTACAAAGCTGGAGCTATTAACCAAATGTATTTCCTGTGTAAAGAACATTTCTATGGAACACGACACACTTTGTCGACTTAAAAGGAAGAGTGACAAAAACCCACACAGGCCTTTTTTTTTTTGAGCAAATAGTCTTCTTTTCACTCCAATACACTAAAGATTTAGTCTCCCAGTACACAAATGAAAACAGTATGATCACACAGCTAGTTGTTGTTGTGAGTCAATAGCTGAAAACGGAACACAAATTCATCCACAGGCAGGTAAACATATTATTTGAAATGAAGTTTTTGTTTTGTTTTTTTGTGTGTGTGGATAAAACAGTAAAACTGATCATCCTCTTGTTAACTCACCAGGATTGGGTGCATGCATAAAGAATAAGATGTTGTTTGATTCATCATTACTGAGATAAATGAATTGATTCTGTTCCCCAGATGACAGTCAGTGTCCTGGAGACCCGCAATTACTTTGGCTGTTTAGGGAAGCCGTTTACGGCATAAGAAGCATTTGTTAAACTGAAATGAGTACAATGATAACTTTTTCCCGCTCCGGTAAGAATAAAGAGATGCTTCTAAGAGTTAACTTTGCATCATAACATTACTTAACATGAAGGGAATTTACATGGCAGCTGGATAAATATCATGTTATTACTTGCAGACATGTTTGATTATGATATGATGGCACTATTTTCCTGAAAGTCAGCAGTAAACTCTCCTCCTCACGTACTTCTGCTACTCTCAGGGTTTTGTTCCAGAACTAAGGTGTTACAGAGCACTAGAAATTAAGTAATTAGCTACATAGTCTTACATAGTCACTGAAACATTACAAACTGAAATGAGTATATTGATAGACTGGTGACCTGTCCAGGTGAACCTGCCTTCACCCTGAGTCAGCTGGGATAGACTGCAGCCCCCCACGACCCTACTGAGGACTAAGCGGTGTATAGATGATGGATGGATGGATGTGCAACCTTTTTTCAAAAAGATTTTCTGATTATAATTTTAAATTATGTTTTAAAATACTGGGAAGAATTTTGTTGTTATTAAGTCATTTACATAAAGGTTGGCAAAAAAAAAAAAAAAAAAAGAAAAAAGTTAAGCTCCTGCTTTGTAGAAGGCAAAAATGAAATAAAAAATCCGTCATCTTTTGGCCAATTCAAAAAACTTCCAGTTTATGTCAACAACTTCCAGCCGCTGTCGACGGTCGGCCACCAGGTTCTCTTATTACAATTCATCACGTATCCATTTCGCAGTGTGACAGGCTTCATGCAGCACAGCGTGTCATGGCATGACGTGCAATTGATATCATGCAGTTTGGCACAGATTGAGAGCAAGATTTTGTTTGATCCATCTGGCACAGACTGACATGGAGCAAACTCGCACTGCCATTGTGTTGTGTGTGTTTTATATACAGAGAGGGGTGATTTTAAGTTCATGTTTTTAAATATTACACTTAAAAAAATACAAATCAATATGCTATTCTGATGGGGATCAACTCATTTAGATGTGCATTTACAGTACGTTCTAAATGTGTTCATTCTATGAAAAAGTATTTGTTGATTCAGCAGTTGTCTACTTTTCTTTCACTGTTTTTCCTTTACTTTACTTTTTGTTGGTACTATTTGCAAAGTTAAACAGCCACCCTTTACCTTCACATGCCTGAGTGTGCATTTGTCTCATTCAGGAGGCTCTGATCATGGCTAGCATGGAGCATCCCCACCTGGTCCGTCTGCTGGGCGTCTGCCTGAGTCCCACCATCCAGCTGGTCACACAACTGATGCCTCACGGTTGCCTGCTAGACTATGTCCACGAGCACAAGGACAACATAGGATCACAGCTGTTGCTCAACTGGTGTGTCCAGATTGCCAAGGTAAGGACAAAAAAAGGTTACTTCACTACTTGGGGCTGCATGGATGCTTGGCTGATATGTGTGGGGAAGGTTTGAAGTGTGTGGTGTGTGGCAGGCTGGTTGTTTGAAAGATTAGTACGTGTATTTATTGTATTTTAAGCTGGATAAACCCTCTGTGACACCACCCACAGGTCATGGATTTACCTATAACAGTAAACAGCTGCCGCACAAATTCATAACTTTAAGCCTTAATACAATTTAAACAGGTGAGTTGTATAAAAAGCTCAACCCACTACAGCTTTCACAAACGGGGAAACTGGTTATAGACGCCACAACCGTTTCTGGTACCAGGCTGTAAACATGTTTAGTTCTGTTGTTAAGTTTGACATTTAACATAGTGGTCATTGGGGACTGACTGACATTAGAAGTCAGACTCAAGTGGCCGTTTAAGGAACTGCACATTTGCTTCATTTCTCAACATCAGAGGTTGCTGCTCTATAAATACTTGTATTCGCTTTGGATGACGTGCACATACATAACTACCAAACTCCCCCCTTTGTCTCAGCTATAGCATGAGCTACTGCATTATTTTTAGACGGACAAAAATTCTGTTTCTGTTGGTCTGTAAAGGGCCGCGAGCCAGAGACAATGAGTGTACATTCGGTAAATAGCGTCTAAGTGCAACGGTGGATTCAGCAGCAGACTGAAGAGCTAAAGTGAATAATTTAAGCTCTTGCTTGACTTTCATGGAGGATGCATGGTGTGCGGGGAACTCAGAGGATGTAGGAGTGCATTTCTCTAGGGCGTGGATAAAAATACACTAATTCACTACTGACCATAGATCAGAATCTACATCTCTGGCATCGTTTAGCAACCCTAGTAACGCCTTATTAAGCAGTATAAACATTTTTTTTCATTCTTCTACACATTACGTGTTGGAATATATTAATTTAACAGACACTGTATTGCAACACACTCCTACAAAATATATCTTCTTTTTTTTTTTGCCTCCAAACATGCTGCGTTTTTTAAACAGCTGATGAAACTTTCGCAAGTAAGGGGTTAAAAATCCAGGAGAATCAGATGGAAAACGGTTGAGCAATTGCTGCAGTCTCCAATTTAATATCTTAGACAAATATTCCTGTTGCCGTTTTGGGCTAAATCAGAAGCAGGCAGTACTCCAGTGAGCTTCCAGGAGAAAATATTAAACCATCAATTAAATTTGGAACACAGCTATGATCATACCACAAATAAAGTGCTTTTTTTTTTTTTTTTTCATACCAACAGCGATCAACAGCGCTTGTATTAAGTCATGCTCACAAACTTTCCATGCTGTGTAACACAAATATTTTCATGGTATGGAATTAATCACACAAATTACTTTGCGGGAAAAAGGATGGAGATCGACTATATGCACATGAATAAATACATGCCCGCTGTGAACAGTTGTCTACATGGAGAGATGTATAATTCATAAAGGCTAGATATGGTGATGTATTATTTACCATTGTGTTGTGCTACTGTGTGTATATATTGTTTAGTGTTTTCAGTAATTGGCTACAGCTCCTGGAGTCACAAATAGCCGTCAGGGGCCGCGGTTAATAAGGTGCCAACACTCGGCTTGATGTGCGCACAAACACAAAGTGTCCTTCACAACGTGGATCAGAATCTATCTGTGTGTCGGCAACAAGGTGAACCGGGACACTTGGCCCAACACCATCAATATTCCCACACGTAGGCCTCATAATAACTTCTTCCGTACTTGACTCCCGAAACATTTTTCTTCGCATTATTTGATTATCTCTATCAGGGATGCATGCATGAAGCCTCGCAGGGTGTTCGTCGCTCTCGAGGCGAGTGACAGGGCTCCACTGTGAGGCAGCAGCCCAGCGGCTCTCCCTCTCCGTCATGGTCGCCATCACCACCATAGATTATTAATGGAGCGATCTACCATGAGAGTCATACTAATGAGCAGATTCATCAGAGCTACTACGCATGCAGCTCTCTGATGCTACAGAATGTGTTTTTTTAATATATCCTTTTTTTAGCTTCCCATACAATTAACCTACTATATCACTTCCTCCTCATTACGTCTGCTCGCTCTCCACAGCTCCTCGTTGCGCTCGTCTTTACGTATGTTTAAGTTTTGACTTGCTGCAGCGGTAAAAGTTAGATGTTGAAATATTATCGTGCTGCAAGGCTGTGGTAAGGACAGAGAAATGTGTGTTCCAGTTAGTCTTGACAATTTTCTCAAGAGGCTTTTCACAAGGGATGTGATATATCGGTTTGTCTTTATTGGATGAAATGTTTCCACATCTCACCCCTGACACTAATTTGTCAAGCACGGGGAGTGAAATCCACTCGCAGACTTGGTCGTAATTTGAGATTTTTTCTAATGTGACGACGGCCTGATATAAACGATATCAACAGCAGCTCCACATTAGTGCTCTAACAGCCATTACCGCCATGATAATGACAAATATTTTCTCCTAAAGAGAAAATATGAAGCAGTTGAAATGCATTTGACGTGTTTCTGGCATTGTGTTGTGAAATAAAGAGCACAACTAATGAGCTCACATGTAACTTATACACTTCTTTACCCAGGAGCACCTGTTATACATTACAAATGTTGAATTAGCACCTTAAATCCAAGCAGTTTTTGGCCTTTTTTTGCTTCTCTCACATTTTTGCTCACTGTGGGCTCAGTTTCTGATGCAGTGTAAACATGCCTTTCAAACCTGTGGGCTGGTTTTGGGGTCCGATGGTTAATTCAGCGTTCTTCTTGTGGTAGTAAAACAGTGGCACACATTTCAGCTCCACGTGCCAGGTGTTAAACTCACAGCTGTTTTTAAAGGAATGACTTGCTTGTGAGACAGCTGAAATGTTGATGATATCTGCAACAAAACACCATACAATTGTCATTTTACTACTTAAATTAGCTTAGCTTAGCTTAATAATTGATTGGGTGACTCGTAAAGTGGCTTTGGTCCACATTGACATCTCAGCAAACACTCAACTGATTGGATGTTGGCGATACATGCAGATAATTTGTTGATCTCGTGACCTTTTCAGCAAAAGGATCACCATAAAATTTGGGACATAGATTAATTAATTTAATTGTAATACCGCAGCAGTTTCCTCTATTGTTACTATCAGGTCAAAATCTCAGATCGAGAAGCGACTAAATCTCATGTGTTGTCTTTTATCAGACTTAGGAGCTAACAATGTCTATTCTGAAATGTACAACAATTAGCCCAAGCATTTGAATGCAGTCTTATCGTCAGCCTTTTAGATCAGTTGATATTTCTGTCAGTGAGCTGCATTCTTTTCATTCTTTGTCATCTATTTTATGTAGAATACAAGTTGAGATGAGACACGATTTGGCACATTAAGAGGAGTTAGAATCCGTTCCATGAAGCTAACAAGCCTCATGTGAAAGCTTTGATTCTAGTTATTCCGGTTACAATCTAGTGTGAAAGTGGGACCGTCTGTAAAGGCTTCCTCTTATACAACAGACCGGATTGGAAGCTTCCACACCGATTATTAAAGAGAGACGGAAGTGACTTCTCAAAGTGTGGTTGCACCAATTGTTTAAAACAGTGATGGGATTCATTTTCCTGATAAATATTTAGTGTGAACACCTTAAATGTGCCATTGAAGAAGACTTTAATATCCCACTACCTGTTTTAGGATAATACATGACGACTACATCGATTTAACACACGTGTTTGAACAGCATCGCGGCAGGAATACCTCATCGAAGCGAGCTGTATGACGACAACCACTTGTTGAATGCACCAGCAGATCTTTCCTTCTCTCTTCGTCAGTATTTTTATTTTTATTTCTATTGAATGTACGTGTGTGTGTGTGTGTGTGTGTGTGTGTGTGTGTGTATGTGTGTGTATGTGTGTGATAAGAGGGCCCCACAGTGTGTATCACAGGGTCATTTCTTTGTGTAAACCAGTCTTGGCAAACATGCCTCTCTCCAACTCATTACATACATCCCTGGGGTTCCGATGAAAACTCAGTTCACTTCTATTCCCAGACTACTCGGTGTGTTTTTCTTCTGTTGTTTGTACTTATTTCAGCATATGAATCTCTTCTTTTTTTCTCTCTCTCTCTCCGTCTCTTTGAAAATTGAAGCAAAAGGAATGTACCGTGGGCTCCCATGGATGCTCATATTAGTTTTCGATCTTTTGTTGGTACAAATATTGTACTATCACTATCCTCCTGTCAGAAAAAAAAAAGCAGTGCAGCCTCACCATACGCAGATCCCGGTAATAAACTACCCACTGGCTGTTTTATTTTTCCTTGCGTGTCCACTTTGTAAAGCCCTGCTTCTATAAGCAGCCTTTACTTGTGCAGCTTGTTAAAGCTGAAAAAGGTTGACAGATTTTAATAGTGCTGTGATGTACTTTTTTCATTTGTTTGTTTTTCCTTGAACACATTCAGGGAGTTCATTTACAGTGTTATCGGAATGGAGCACGTTTTTTT